TGTAGACAGGAAGACCGATTCAAAAACACGATATTCTGTTCCCTACTGCACAATTTTTCCAACATTGCGCTGCCTGCCCTGTGCACATAACGCTGAATAGCAGCTGAGGCAGAATTAAACCACTTTGCAGTTATTATTTGATGCAGCCTGGTAACTGTCCCGCTGACAAACAAACAGCTGTTCTAATGACAGCGATGCTGCATGGAGAGTGGAGTCAGTGTGAACTGCTTCAGTAGCTGATGCGCTGCTCATGTCTCGCTTTTAGTGTGAACTCTCAGTCTCACAATGCTAGCTGCACTGCCTGGCGCTTTGTTTTCACATGATGCCTAGATGTGATGTAGCAGGCAAATTCCTGGCTAAAGGTGCATGTCTGAAAGGTGCTTAAGGCTTTGGTATGGTCTTTGTTCTCACCTTGGGGCTGTCCCCTCCAGAGGCCTCTTTGTCATTCTCAGGCTGGGAGTTGTCATTTATAAGCTGCAGCTCTGCAGAGCTGACCATGCGACCACCCATCCTGTAGCCTGAAGAGCCTGCACCTCGCGGGCTGGAGGGGCACGAGTTAGCAGCACTGCAGGGGGGAGAAGAAAAAAAAAAACTGTCAGATGCTGAGAAACGCGCTGCAAAGAAAATCTACACTGAATCAAGAAATAAAAATCCAACAGTTTGTATTAAGTGTTTAAACTGTAACAAGCCTGGCACGGTTACATTCCCTGACCTGGCTCCTCTGCAGACAGTGCTGCAGTGACCAACACCTATGCAAATTGCCATACCTCCCAGATTGTGTGGAAATACTGCAGCCACAGTCAGACCTCAAGCAACAACACATTCAAACCTTAATCAAGTGCAATTACCCAGTAAACAGACTGAATAATCGGGATGAAAAGACTTGATGGGAAAGCATGATTTCCATATTTATGTCTACTTCAGTTCTGAAGGGACTCTCATAATGTTGGCAAACAGAGGCACAACAGATCTGAATTCTCAAATGTACAGTACCTGCACTTGCTGCTTTATTACTATGACTGTTTATTTGTCAGTAGTTAACACACAATCATTTAACCATCAAGGTAACGACTTGTATGGCACCCTGGTTGTTTAGTCGCCTGGCTCAGATCAAGGTTTGAAAGCGTCTGACTCCGAGATGCAGCCCTGCAGTCTAAGCCTAATAAAGGGGCCGTGTCAAGGTCAGCTAATACCTCAAGGTTATCTAAGAGTAATGTGGGTATAACATTTTTTTGTCTTTTACTGCCATTCACTAGTCAGTGATTGGAAAACTGCAGGTTAATGGCAACAATGAAAAGAAGTGCTAAACAGAAAAGTTCCTTCTTAGTGAAAGGTAAAGTAATACAGCCTTAATTTTGATTTGGTTAATTAGCATTCTAAAATTCATAAGAAACATGAGTCCTTGCCAAAGACTTGAATTCATGGTTTGATTCCAATTCAATTCAGAATGATTTTTGATTCAATCAAAAAAAAAAAGAGGGGGGGGGGGCACTACAAGTGACCACTGAGCTGCTAATGTAGTATAAGAAATTTTAAGTATATAAGGTTATTAAAATTAGCTCCACCTTTACCGGTGGCAGAATCAAATGTGATGAACACAATAATGCATCAGTAATCCAGTAATATAAACGTGTCAATATGCATAATGAGTACGAGTTACCTCTGGTACCTAAGGTTATATTTTGATGCTAATAATTCTGTGCTTTTTTTTTTTAAGTAATGAGTATTTTTACACTGTAGTACTGCTACTTTTACTGCAGTAAAACCTAGTACTTTTCCACCACCGGTTTTTGGTAGCTACATGTGTGATGTTGTGGGGAATGGGGAAGAACAAAGCACAGCACTCAGTTCTATTGTTGTCAACGTTACACCTGCAACAGTGGAGAACAGTGTCTGTGCTGCAGTGTTACTACCCGAGAAAGCCAGCATGAACCCTAATATCTACCACTATCCTTTGTGTTTTCATGGTTCACCAATCTTTACAAAAAGTGGAGAGGGGAATTCAGAATCTGATATTCAGACGAAAAAAAAAAACTCATTCAAATGAGTTTTCAATCAGAATTAAACTGACAACTACAGTAAGTTATACTGTTACTGACTTTACAGTTCAGGTTAATTAAGTAAAACTACCCCAAACTTGATCAAATGTCTGGATTAATCTCCAGAAAGTGACTCCAGAACAGACTAATAAAGGGATGTTAATAAGTCTTTGCTACGACTGACAAATTGTCTATATACTAATCTGGCGAGTGAAATGATCTTAATGAGAAATGCAATTTTTGGTCATGTACAGAAATTTCCTGGCTGCTGCAGGTCAGTGAAGGCATCATTTCCAGCAGAGTACCTAATGGTGCCTGTAGGTGATGGCAGGGGGCTCATTAGGTGAGCAATGTTGTCTGGAATGTTGATGGTCAGTGGGGAGATCTGAGGCTGTACTGGCTTCACTGGGGACTCGGGAGCTTCACGCTTCACTTTCTTCCCACTGGACAGAGCTGTGAATGTGATCTTGATGTTTGTGCTGGGGAACCTGAAAGTGCACCTGCAAAAAAAAAAAAATGCAAAAAAATAAAAATAAAAAACAAAATAAAAAACACAGAGGCACCTGTGAAAAACAGCATTTCAAAAGACAAATCCAATCAGTGAGTACTTGATGACATGAAGTTTTGCTGTGGTAGAACTGCCTGACTGTAATTAGCCAAGCGGGGCAAGTTGATTTGAAAACTGAAGTAACAGCTTCATGGCACACAGTCCCAAACTGTCTGAAGCAACAACAACAAAAAAAAAAAAGACAGGTCTGCAATACAACACTGCAGAGGACTGACAGACTGCCACTGCCTTTGATCTGTCCTTGTTCGCAGAGGGAGTGCTGGCCCCATTGATGGATGGCCCTAAATTAAACAAAATGCTATATATAAAGACACATTTAAAGCACTTAAAGGACACATTATGCAAAATTCACTTTGAGCATTTTCTGACATTCACATGGGTCTCTGATGTGTATAGACATGCAAAAAATGAGAAAACAGCAGTCCCTGCCTATTTCGCTTTATCCACATGTGGCTCAGGGGGTAGAGCGGGTCATTTCCTAACCGGAGGATTAGCGGTTCGATTCCCGGCTTGTCCAGTCAACATGTCGAGGTGTCCTTGAGCAAGACACTAAACCCCCAGTTGCTCCCGGTGATGTCACCGGTGTGTGAATGTTTGAGTGCTTGGGAGTGCGAATGGGTGAATGGCCGAATAATGTGTGTGAAAGCGCTTTGAGTGTGCTGTAAAAGCATAGAAAGGCGCTATACAAGTATAAGACCATTACCAGACCATTTACCACATTTGTGTTAAAACCTGCCTGAACATGCTGTTCAGATTTGTCTCTATGATGTCATATGAAATGATGTGGCAGTTCAGTTCAGAGATCCTCCTCCCACTCAGATTTGGTGCTACTGGTCCACCACTGTGACTTTTTTTTTTTTTTGCTAGAACAGCAGAGGAACAGCAACATGGCTCTGCTCAGAGGAAAAGCACTGAGTCTGCTCAGCTGTTGGTTGCAAAAATGAGAACAAAAATCTCTGCCTAATTCCATCATCGGAGCCAGTGAAAACACAGTAGATATATTTATTGCAGAAGTGCTCCTAGAAATATCCGTAAAGCCTAGCAAGTTATGTGCTAATCATTTCACGTTAGAGGGCTTTCTTAATCAGGGTCAGTACAACACTGGATTTATTTCCAGACTGAAGCTCAAGACTGGATCTATTTCAACTCTCCATGAGCCTACCTCACATCCTGCTGCTTTAAGTGTGAAGTTAGCCTGTTTAACTTAGCCATATTAGCCGCAATGTAATACTGCACAGCTAACGTGGTTAACAATAGTTTGTATTACAAGCTGAACAACAGAAACAGGTTAAGGGTCCGGGCTAGTAATACTGATCAACAGTCAGAATGTACCAGAGAACCTGTGTGAAACTTTAACCAAATTTCCTGAGTAGTGGGTTGTATGGCGGCATTTTTGCTATAAAAGCACAAAACTTTGTGTAAACATGTTATTGGTGTTTCTCTTTTAGACAACACTGCCCTGGTGTGACAGTAGTGGACTGCCGATTTAACATCTGTGGCTGTTTAGGTTTTGATTTAGAAGTGCTTTTTATGGTGAAATCTACAGCAGAAATGCAGCTAACTGTGGCTAACAATGTTAGCAGAGCTAACGCTGAAGAACTGGAATCGGGAAACACGACTGAGTCGCTAGGCAGCTCCTGTTCAATGCTGTGGGAGCTGACCAATGACTGGGCTTTTAGGGAGGGAGGCCTGGAGATAAAATAGACCATGTTTACACAGAGGGGAAAAGAGGGTCTGGCACTACTAGCGCCCTGAAGAAACTAATGAACATATACGGGTTTAAAACTTTTCTAGTAAAACCTTTAAATAATATAAACCTGAAAATGAGCATAATTTGTGACCTTTACCCCTCAGCAATTAGAAAACATGCCTCAAGTCCTTTTCAGATATGCTCTGCAACCCTGAACTAAACTTGTCTACACATTACCAGAAGAGCTGTATGTGACAATACAAACATCCAAATCAGCTGGACAGGAAATTACATGAATTTTAACCCGTCAACTCCCTCGTACAAAGTCTGTGTAGTGTCTGACCGAGCATATGTGAACAGAGCAGGTTTTTGCTGAGTTAGTGGGCCTGGTGATGACATTTCATCATGCAACAGTATTCTTCCCGTTTTGTGCCAAACATCACTGTGGGGGACACAGTGTTTCATACACACTTTAAGAACTTTTCCTAAATTTTCCACAGTGACCTTCAACACAATGCAGAAAACAATGTTCCATTTTCCCTTAAATGCAACACACCCTGAGGTACATTGAGGTGCATCTCAACAGACAAGAACAAAAGTTGATTTCTTGCAATTCAAATATTTTTTATTTTGATAAAACACAAGCGCGTATGCCAGTTATACAGTGGATGTCTATATCAGAGTGATGAAGGGAAACTATCAAAGGAAATCTTCAACACTCAGCAGTGAATAAAAGGAACTCTTCTCAATCGCTGTTCAGATCAGGCTGTCTCACACCCTGGAGACGGCACAGGCACACACACTGGTTTTCATTTAGTTCGAGTGCCAGGCACAGCAGTATTTTTGCTAGGTCTTCACAGAGCTGGCATCTGCTGGGAGGACTGTATCCCTGACACCTACATCTCAAATTAGCTTTGGCACTCACAGGGGGAGACAGAGAAACACTTCCTGGAGCCAGACTGGTGAGGGGAGACACTTTAATTATGCATGTGCCCTCCGAGCACATTTTCAGGAAGAGTAGTGACTTCTCTGCAGCTCTGATAAATAAATAACACTGGAGAATTTCGCAATACGTAGCAGCTGTGTGTAACTGCCCAAGTGAGGACGATGAACTCTACATATCAAAAACAATCCTCCTTCACGTTGTCGGTGCACACCGCTGAATCTTCAAATACCAACTGGCCAAACACCAATGGCTTTTAGTAGGGAAACTTTGATATTGGAACATTAAGCATTAGCGATGTCCATTTGTAACGTGTATGTTACATGTTGATGGTGGCTGATCATCCCTTTAAGTTTCAGTCTGAAGTCTCTAAATTTGAGCCCAAGTTACATATGAAGTCTCTAATGTTACCAACTTATGTCTATTCAAGAGTGTTTCTCTGAGCTGCCAGAGGCGTTTAACTTTTCCCTTACTGAGTTCTGTGAAACTGCAGCTACATATGAAAACTAAATCAAAATAAAGATGCTATGCAATTCCAAGGCAAACTGGATACAGGTACTGGAAAAATATTTACAGTTGTCTCTGAGCTCGTTGCAATCCTGTCATAAGAGACAATATAATTGGTAACATTATTAACATGGTATCACTTGACAGCCCACTAACAGGTCTTCAGTTTAGCAAATAACCATTAAAACACCATGAGTCAAAAGGTCTGTGTTGCTAGACACTTGGAGGGCAGAAAAGTTAAATACGTTACCCTGAACAGCTATGTTAAGTTACAGAAATAGAGGCTAACATGATCCAACAGACCTCACATAAAAACAACAAGCAATGACATTAATGCTCAAGTTCCACCACCTCCAAACCAATTTAGCATGTAGGCTATCTGAAAATCTGACCTATTAGACTTAAGTTTTCAATTGCCTTACAAAGTTGGGCGTGGTCAACCTACCGCCTTTTATTTTTCCCCCTCAAATTGTTGACAAAAGCCATTTTTTCGGTTAAGCTCAAGGGTTTTTGAAATGCCTCTATCCAACATCTGGTACTGACCCCATCACAGGTGGTTGTGTTGGTGACTGGACCGTTTTGTGTGAGTCATGTCACACGCCTGTAGTTGGCAGATGCACACTGTGTTGCATTAAAGGATTCCAGAGGGTTCTAAAATTAAGAACTTTTCCTCCTACAAAAATGTTCAGTTACCAATTTTTTTTTTTTTAAAGACTGAATGCTCACAAATCATGATTCACATAGGCAAGTCGAGTCAGTGATGAATGAGCTGCCAACCTGAGGGCCAATATCTCATGTGCAGAGGTTACTTGTAAGTGTTTCAGTTGGGACTTATATGTTTATTGTTGAGGTCATAGTTAAAGGTGGTGTTCTACTCGACTACATTATATTCAGATATGTTCCCAATATTCTGACCCTCTCAGGTACGTAGCTGGGGAGGACAAAATATAGACAGGTGAGTCAGCGTCAAAATAAAGTGACAAAATGGTCAAATTTATTTCTTGAAGGAAAATTAATCATTTTAATTAGTCAACTAATCTGTAAAACAGTCGTTAGTGGCAGCCCTATTCTGGACTCTGTGAATCATAATCCAATCAGAAGATCAGTGCTGATTTTGAGGTCTACTACTCTCAATACCTGATTTTATTGATACTTCTGTTAGTACTCTTTGTCAATACCCATCGACTCAGCATTTCAAGACAACATACAACATACCACTTTTAGTTCATAAATGGAAGTTTTCCATTGTCTAAGTGAGACTCATTGCATGCAAAGCTGCATATATGTTTTTCAGGCGGCACCCCCATATATTCACAGAAGCCCAGCTAGCTACCCTATTTTTTTTTCTTGTATGAACAATCAGGCCTGAACTCCACAAACACACAAGTTGCTATGCTGCTAAGCTTTGAGGAAGGCAACAAAAGCTTGCTTGACTGAAAACTTTCACTCAATTTTCTCCCCCCACCCACAATGTAAATAAAATAAAAAAATAAAATAAACTAAAAGAGAAGACAGGAAGTGCACCAGCTAGGAGAGAATATATGGATGTGGAGAGCACACAGAAGGCGGGGGAGGAAGGGCAAGGGAAGGCTGCTCCTTTCTGTTCGGTCTGTTTACATCACCAGAGAGGAATCCCTGGAATACAACTTACTTGTCCCCTGGGCCACAGCTCTGTGAGCACTCCGGTGTTGCTAATCTACTTCTTTAGCTGCACCCATCTCATTGTGGGCAGTGAGAGTCATTTAAGTGCCTTCTGTAGCTCAAGGATTACAGCAAAGCATGTGAGCCCATGTTGGTAGAGTCTTACTCACAGAACTACATACAGTAAACATTGCTGGTGTTTAAAAGCTCTTGAATGGCAATAAGCCTGATCAATCCCAGAACATGACCCACTGCTGCTTCTTCCTTGGTGCTCATGTTATCTGCATAATGAAATGCAGTGTATGGATGATGTGGCTGAAGAACAGTGTGTAAATTCACTTAACCTCAGTAACAACAACACATGCAGCTGCAGAAAATACTACTGTACAAAAAATGAAAGTTTATCAAGTCAAAAGCAGTTTTTCTGTAGCACACTTTTTTTTATGGTTTCACACTTAGGGATAGCACAATAGTTAAGAGCAGGGAGGGAAGTCTGGCCAGCACTGGCAGAGGCTGGTTGGTTTGTCTACATTACAGGTAATTTCAGTGAATATACTGCAACTCATTTTGTGCCAAAATCCCCAACAAAATGCAAACAGCTCTGTTAGATTTTTTTTTTTCCTCTGGATGGTAGTTTCAGTTCTGTATATGGACCATATTTGCCCTTTTCTATTTCAGTAACTACAATTACATGTCAAATTCAATTGTTGTATTTCAGTAATCTAAAACTGCACACTGTGGCTTTTTTTTTTCTTATTTTAAGCTCATTAAAGATAACAATCAGACCTACAAAAATGCCCAGGATGATACTAAAGTCTAGGACTCATTTACATTGAGATTCTTAATCTAAAATGACATGATTCTTTTGACTATATTCAACAGAGTAGCATTTAGTCAGTTCAAAACCAAAGTATAATCAGTTTAATAATGATATAAAAACAAAAAAATCTCACATTTTAAAAGCAGGGACCAAAGAAAGCTTGGTATTGTGCAAGATAAATCACAAAAACAATCAGCTATCAATACTGTTCACAAGTATATTCCTATGAATGAATTAATTCTTTCACGATTACAACACACCAGGTAGATACAACTTGGCCATTACCTTTTAGATAATGTTACCTGTAATTTTATGTATCAGCCACTAAAACATGGCCTATAACCAATCCAAGGAGCATCTATTTACTGCAATACAAATGCCAAAACTTTACAACCCACTAGATAAAATACATTTCACAAGAGCTAATTAATATCAATCCTAAAAGTTGTACAATGGCAAATTGCAGGCTACAACCTGCACAGCATAGCTTAAACACCGTTTAACATTTTTATTCGAACTCTCTGGTAAAATAAATTTTATAACAGCAATTTAAGTTCTTGGTAAACGATTAATATCACAAAATTATTGATGAACTAACGTTATACGACTAGCATGACCTGGGCTGGTTGAATAGAGGCCAAAGGTCCTGCAGGCTGTATGAGCCAACAGGGCGGGGACGGCCTGGTTTGTTTACGTTTAGGGGTCGGGATGAGCTCCATTCAATCTACAGTTAACTGTTAGCTAACACGTAGTATGACCACAAGGAAGCGTGTTTACAGTAATACGAGACAGACACTGCTGACTTAGAAGTGTCCACGTGGTAGAAAAACTATCACTAGTCAATATCAGCAATAGCGTCATCATAGATGTGAACGTTGCTTATTTTGGCTAATTAGCTCCAATACAGATACAGAGGAATGCGGCTAACGCTAGGTGAGTCCCACGAGGGGATGTGGAATGGGGACAGGCGGCTAATGACACCGTTGCTAACATGAATGTCAACAAAGAAAACGGCTTTAGGAACAGGATGCGGGGTTCTTGCTAACATGCTAAAACACGTGGTCCTTGCGACCCTGCTAGCCACTATAAAACAAGTATTGTTAACGGTTAAAATTCTGCCGACTGGCTACTAGCGCAAGTATCCACATGTGCACCAAAAGGGGAAACTTACATTCGTGGTAGCTGCAGGGGAGGGGCGCCCCGTCTGAGGAACACTCCGTCTACAAACACCCCATTTTTACCCAGACACCTCAGATAGAACTCTCCGCTGCCGGTGCCATCGTCACTGGCGGTGAATATTTCCAGATGCCTCCGTGAGATGAAGCTGGAGTGGCCCATGCTCACGTCCACTGAGCCCTGAGACGAGTTCCGACCGATAGTTACCGAGCGCTTTTTCATCATATATTCGAATTCACGGCCCTCGAGCCGGGCTACTGGCCCAGACGATGCGTTCACCACGGCCATGTTTTGGGTTAGCCTCTCAACGCCAAATGCTGGGACAAATAAAACACCGGCGCGCGGACAGCCGACAGTGGCCCTTAAGAGGCGTGTAAATAAAGAAAACCTAAAATACGGGCATTCAATTCAAAACAGGAATTTAGAGGGGGGGACATGCGAGGCCAGGCCGGCTCCGACCCACCACCGAGAGAAAGGGTATCAGATAGCTCCAACCAAACAGAGAAAGGGGCGGATATGACTGTACTGACAGCAGGCTTCACCAATCAGATCCAAGAAAGCGGATGCAGCGCCGCAACAACAACTAATCACACGCGAGAGCTAATCCGAGGACACATTCAAGGTCGGTTGGTATGTAGCAATACGCGCATATGCTGCTTGGTGAGTAGTAAAAAGCGGCGTAAATATTTTTAAGCACACACGAAAGGAGTGGAGCAAACAGTTTGCACGTGCAGACAATCACGTTAATCACTACAGCGAATGATTGTCGATAACATATGATTCGGCATCGATACCATCGACTGATCCTGTATCCAAACCAAGAATCGATTAGGTGTATTAAAGCAGTTTACAGGATTCAGATCTCAATCTCCACGTCGCATCGGCGTAAAACCCACAGTGTACGACGATCTTCCTCATCCACTATAAAATCCATGCCTGGATTTTCACGGCGCATCCTTTGCAGTATTACTTTGTAATGATGAGGTGGTTAGCTGTCTTTTAGATGATCTTCGTTTACAGTCTGTCAGTACAACTAGATCGTATTGCCTTGACAGGCTTGTTTCATATTAGGCTGCTGGGGCCGTAGTGTTGTAATCATGTGCTGTACTGTTTGCAGGCCTTGTTCTCATCAGAGTGAGTGACCCTGCCATCTGTAGGCCGCTTGTTTGTAAACACCAAGGGCCCGTCTGTACGTGAGTGCGCATGCACGTGCTCGCAACCAGTCAAGGCCCTTATTACATGATAACACCTCTGTCAAGGTGTTAAGTAATAATCAGATATCAACAGTCTGTTTTCACTGAGTGCAGGAAGCAGGTAAAACCAGGATTAGTTGACATAAGAAATAGGCTTTGACATAAGATATTGAAATAAAAAATATTAATGTGAGTAAGGTCGAGCAAAAACAGCACAATGGAAACCAGTATGTTGAACAAAAGCTATGGTTTCCTGTTCTTTTCATGGAAATAATAATAAAATTATTAAAAAATATACAAATGCTTTTTGCCACATGACAAGATATTAGTCCTAAACATCTTCTGCCTCTTACCTCCGTCCTCCTGAATGGCCATTACTGTTTATGTATTTATAATGAGCTTTTGCATCTGGAATAACGTCATCAATTTTGAATCTGAAGAATCCCCACACATAACTCACTTCATTGATCTTCACTGATCATTTCCATACTACACCATAAACATAAACAAACTCAACTGGCAAAATTTACTATAAATATAAAATATGTAAACTATGTAACACTACTGAGAAAACGTTAAACAGGCTAATTGTTATAATCATATACACTTTTAAAATAAGCAATATGCCCAATTTATCTGTTGGTTTCTGTTGATGGCTGAAATTTTTCTGCACGTGTGCTGCATATCAGTGTTTCTTAATGAAATGTCTTTATTAAGGATTATTTGGTGCTCACATCCACGGAGCCCTGAGACGAGTTCCGACCGATAGTATGACTGAACTGGAGTCAAATTCCTTGTATATTAATATATGTACTTAGCAACAATAGCAATAAAGATTATGATTGATTGACTGATCATTAATATTCCATTTTGACTAAGCACAGTGTTATCCAAAGATATAAGAATAATGTAACGTTGACATGCACAAAATGATTTAACAGTTTTTACAGTGTGTAATGTATTATGACTGTTAGATATTGGCACCATATTATAAAGCTTCCACAGTTTTGATAAAATAGAACTGCAACAGTTACTTCATAATTAAATAATGAATGTGTTTTCCCTGAACAGACAAAAATAGGACTTTAACTGAACACAATATCTAATCAGATTCTAACAGAAGCAAATACAGTCCAACGTCAGTTATGCTGCATGAAACAGGATGTTATGGTTTTCTTTTCTTTTCCTTCCTTTTTGAACCAACCACCTACAGTAATATTAACCTCTAACTTCCACTCTGCCAGCCACTGGAGGGAGGCATGCACCTTCACAGCCATCCAAAGATGACATCATGTACTCATCATGCAGTCATTGTAGCACTTTTAGTCTAAAGTAGTGTTCATAAACAGATCACAATAATGCATCATCATTTCATCACCTGCCAAAAGACAGATTTATCTGCTCATAGCCAAAGTATACCAGCATTTAGCTTCTTATTAATAACATTTGGCGAGTGCAGATTATATCAATATGAGCTGCCTAATGGGCTTGATCTAACAATACATTCATGTGCATTAGATTGATTGGTTTAAGTTAACTGATGATACTTTTGATACTGCAAATCTCATGTAATTGTACCTATCAAGAGGATTTAATGAAGGCACTTCTGAAATATTAAAAACCTTTAAGATGAAGACACTTGAAAGATCTATCTGTCCATCTGCGTTGATTGTACAGTTTTGAATGTATTTGTCATGTGGTAAGCACCCGTTTGTCAGCCCCATTTTCACTGCAGTCCAGGAAGAGAACCTCAGCTAATGGCTATCACCTCTCAGTCGAAGCTCTTTCAAACCACGGCTGGGATTCTCAATCTAATATCTGTTCAGCATTACCTGCAGCGGAGCATATTCTTTACCACGCTGTGTTATTTGATTTGAGCTACAGCCAACTAGTATGTACACTATATTTCAGTCCTTTGTTCCGATTGCTTTCAGAGTAACACCTCTCATATTCTGCATCTCTCACGGGAGGAGCTGTTATACATTGATGAAAGCAGCCATGATTAATATTGTCACGACATCAAGCCATCAAGTTGTTGGTCATCATGGCAACTCAGCATAACAGAGAAAGCAGCATCCTATGGGAGAGGAGGGGCTGAGCAAATGGGTTTCTATCTCTGCGGCCAGAGAAAGCTATGAGGTAAGGCAGCTGGCAATAATATGCGTGAGTATTAGTCTGATTGAGCATAAATAAATAAGTATGCAAAAATGTGTTTGTAAACCCTTGCATAAGTCAACATGTATATAAAATATGCAGTGTGATCCCCATGTTAGAAACTTAGTTTCACATGGCTGTGTTAGGATAATGTTGGGGTTCAGGTTAGGGGAAACAGATTTCCACACAACACCGGCAGCAAGTGGAATAAGTGTTAGCGAGCTAGCTGACTGGAGAGCTCCCCTTTTCCATTGCAGATCCCAACTAAGGTCATAATAATCATTAATAATAAATAAAACAAGCATTATTTAAATATATCTAGCCCATATCTATTAAATCTAACCTAAAGTATCATTTCATATCTCTCAAAGCGCATCCATCAGGCTTCAAGAGTCAAGAATAAAGTCCAGTTTTGAACAAACATGCAGTCTGTGGAATTGATTATCTTCTGCTCAATGTATTATGTCTGTGAGCCTATGATGTATTTTGACAGTCAGGTCACTGTTGTAAATTTGTATTCATACTGAGAAAAGCACATACATGTGTTTTCACTTTGTATTTGTAATTTCTTGAAGTTATAACCTTTCAAAGCGTATCCTCACAGACAAAATACACACTACATATTTTATACATGAGTTGACTTAAACGAGTTTACGAAAACACGTTTTTGTGTACAGCTTATTAATTTATGCACAACCATAGACTAATAGTCACCTATATTATTGCCAGCTGTCTTACCTCATAGGGCCCCATTATACCTCTCATCCATTTCCTGTCTCAGGGGGAGGAACTGAAATGGACACATTAATAACACTCTGCTTGTCTGGGAGAGCTAATGGTGCCTTGAGTGCTGATTAAGGATGAGAAAGCTCAGAGGAGTATTACTGTGGTGAACAAAGTGAACAGATCTAGAATTTCGATTTTTTTTTTTTATTTGTTTTGAGCGAAAATTTTTAAATGATAAAGCCCCTTCGCACGTAATAAAAGTTTAGAGTGTCATTGCTTTATGAACACATTTCCTGCTTCTCTACATACCTCAGTAGTTTTGTCTGTGTGACAGAGATGTTTCTATCAGGCTTTGCTCTGGGTGGATCCTACTAAAATATCCACGAGCAAAAACTCACTCTGCCTGTTTGGCGAGTTTTCAATGAGCAGCAGTCTCATAAAAGAACACAACAACAGTCAAAGTAGGTTTGGTTCCTAAAATTCCCAAGCGTATCTGTCATACAACTCACAGTGTACATATATGATAACAATGGCACAAGCATGACATGCTGCGTCATCAGGCCTTTTTAACAACTTCTTCTCTATGAAAGTACTGAGAAATACATTTCCACTCCACCAAAGTCCAGGAATCACTGCTGATTATTCACAACATGACAAGCTGTTTTTACCCTGAAGTCAAAGGGTGTAATAGAGTATTAGGTTTTTATCTCCTTGCAGATTGCAAATGTGTTTTAATCCATGCCCGGATTTGGGTTTGTCACCCATCCTTCACTGTGGCAGAGCCTTCCAGGGTTCGCAGAGCTACAGGTTCATGATTTTTGATGGAACTTCAGCTTCAGTCTGACCTGAGAGTTCCGTCCTCATTACCTTGTGGCTGGTTTGAAGGAGCCTTGGCCAGCTTTGACTCAGTCCAGCTTCCATCATATTGTAATCACAGTACATCTGGTTTGTGTAGGTTGAGCTCCTCCTCAGACACAGTGAGGTTTCCCATATACCAGAATATCCAGAAGACCAGACTAAGAAAGATCAGCAAAGGTCCGGACAGCACGAAAAAGTCCCAGAAACTGAGAGATGCAAAGATCCCCATGAAGAAGAGGATGAGGCCGACAATGTCCATAATCACTGCCACTATAAGGAAAATGAGGGTGAGCTTCTTGTGCTCCATAGTCGGGCCAGGTGAGACGGTCAGGTTGATGTTGTCTTAAGAGCAAGTCTCTCCAGAAAAGTGCTTTTCGGTTTCCTGAATCACTGGTTTTCACTCACAACACACCTTACATTTCTTTCATAGCACAAGATTTAGAGGTATGACTGGTATCCAACCACAATAATGGGTTGTGCTTCTCTCTACCAGCAGCTGAGAGCCCCACGGCCCATCTTCATTCCATTGCGGGGCTGACTTGTTTTGCACCTTTCTTGTCCTTAATGTGACATCAACCCACTGTCTGTAACCTGTGTGACAGATTTATGCACATATATTTTGTAATCAGCCGCCATTGAGCCTGTTGACTAAGCGATAAGCCTGCTATAATTAATTGGGACCCCCCCTGTTGTTTTTGTTCAGCTAATGAAACCAAAGTGATTTGGAGGCTGCATCAGTGTGTTGCATCTTTCATCAGATTATTCAAAACCTCCTCTTGACTTCACTCCCACTGAGTTCAGAGATTTACCCCAGGAAGTATATTTACCCTTTATATTTAGTTTGGGAGCAGCTCTGCAGGGTGGATACACAAGCATTCAAGTGTTCGCTAAATATTTGATAATCCATTGTTCATGCATCACTACAATAATACTGCCTACCATGAAGTGACTGTCACAAAGAGGAAATGCACATAATGGAAACCTTTTTGCGAAATCCTTGTTTGACCAGTCAAGCTGCCACCAGTGTCTGTGCTGCGGCTTTGATATACTGACAGCAGGTGTACACGGCAGAGTTACATTAGATTTTATTTACTGTAATGTTGTCATGAGTTTGATTGAAATGACCTATGCTGTCAGTCATGCTAATTCTAACTCTGTATGTCAGAAGCCATTTCAGTTTTTGTTAGAGACCAAACCCTGACAGAGCTGACATTTGATTAATGTATGCTATATTTGTAACTCAAATCCACGGATCACACTCTGAGGCTACAATTTCCAAAATGTGATTAGCACAGATAGTAGAGCCTTGGTATAAACAGTATGCCACACACAGTCTCAGGACACACATGGTCCTCTCAAGGATTTTCCAGGTCTGTTTACCCAGCACCATTAAGACAAACCAGTCTGACCAGTGTTAATGTCACTTCTGCAGCAAATCAGCCAGCAAACATGACCTGACTTTATTCTCTGAGTATAGCAGCTTCAAGATATATGGGACATGACAAAAAGTACTATGGAGACAAAAACATTAAAACAATGAGAACTATAAGTGAAGAAACCTTATTAGCTGGACACAACAGAGACAAACTGTAGTTCTGGTTCAGAGCTTTGCTACTGCAGGCTCATAAACAGGCTGTATGCTACCTCAGAGGGCTGAGGTGTTTCTTTAAGAGTGTACTCAGTGGGTGGGGTTTTATATGCAGATTCCAGTGTTTACACCTTAGTTTAAGTTAACTTGATTAATCATGTATTCTTGAATTAAAATGGACCATGTAAGTATAAATACATTTTACCATGGGATCTTTACAACACAGAGCCTCAAAATGAAGTAATAATGCAGGTGTTGCATTAAGCTCGCTACTGTACATCAGTTTATATACAAAAGTGGACGTGCCATTAACAAATATGCAGTAAAATAAATGACCACAAACTAACTGCCACACAAAGAGGTTTTGAAACTGTAGACCTTCATGTCGGGAATGAAATGAACAACAGAACTGAAAACAACAACAAAACAATTAAATAGTTAGACAGTTAAAACTCTAATATATGTTATGGCCCCATTCCTAATAATGTAACTCGGTAGCAGTAAAATCAAACATAAGAAGAATAAAAACTTCTTCACTTAAAGCCAAATAAATATTAATTCAGTATTGTTTTGTGTGTTTAGCTGACGTGTGCACTTCAAGTGGAACCGATTACCTGAGAGTGCACCAACAAAACATCTATTTTCCCTATAGCACCAAGTTGTTTCCAGGAAACTTCTAGGGAATTATTAGGAAATTCTGACCCCCCCAATAAAGTGCAACAGAAAATGGAAACAATTACAACTATTTAAGAAAGTGGTTCAAATCTTCTGAAGGGCTGCAGTATAGGCTACATAAATGTTTTAATATGAAAGTTCAGTCACATTCGCCTTCATTTGTAGGAGTATCCTTCACAACATATTGGAGTCCCTGATGCATCAAAGCTGATATGGGGACATTTAACACATGAGATGAGTATGAAGGTAGGTATTCAGGACGCATTGGCCGTAGACCAAATCTCTTTTCCTTCCTCCTCCGCGTTCTTCTCCACAGTGGGGGAGTCCAGAGAGTCATCATACCCTTCGTTGCGGTAGGCTGTGGACTTGCCCCATGTCACCCTGCTGGGTTTGTGAGGAGGTATTCCCACCTGGTAGTCGTCCTCATCCGTAACGCACTTGGCGCGTTGTCCCACTTTAGGTTTCTGGCTTAATCGCTCGGACAGCTTCCTCGCCAGCTGGCCGACGATGCCGCTCCTCTTCTTCTTCAGACCGTAATCTTCTGACACCGGGATGTTCCCCGCGTACCACATGACCCAGAAGGCCAGGCTTAAGAAAATGAACAGAGAGCCGGAGTAGATCAAAAAGTCGCCATAAAAGCTGTTGTTGAGGCGCAGGTTGGCGAATAACCCGATGAAAAGCAGAATCAGGCCGAAACAGTCAAAAAGGACGGCCAACAAAAACGCAGGCAGACATTCGCCTATGCACTTTATGGAGCCCATCATAGAAGCATAAGTCCACAGCCGCTTGTTCCTTGTATAACGGGAGAATGATTCATCCTTTGCACCTGAAAAGAAGCCGTAAGAGAAACGCCCCACCTTAAACTCAGGACAGCCAAGGCTTATAGGTCTGCAGTGCACACGCGACCTAAACACACATTGACACGTTTCCTTATTGTGTTGTCAGTATCAGGAACAGCTGAGGGCGAAGGCCACAGCAGTTGGGTCTGGTTCTCATGATGCAAAAGGAAAAAGGCTTGAGGACGTTTTAATTTGCTAGTCAAATTGTGATCCACATGAGCTTGTTTCCTGAGTATTTGTCTATAGGCCTTAGCTTTCCTACATGTCCACAGAGCCAGTTTTCCTTCTGTTTGAACGAAATAATAGAGTTTAACCTCTAGTTACCCTGATTTTCTGCCACTCCAAAGTCATTTGCAGGTTCATTCTTCTCTTAATCAGAATGAGGCTAAATTAACATTGTATGTAAACTTGAGTCTAATATATTTGTTTGCAGTATAATAGAAATTTAGACTGAGAGTATATAAATGGTATAAACATTCTACCTAATTTGGTCATTGATAGTTTTAATGATGCATTCCTTATTAAGCCTAAAAAATGGTTTTTATTAAACTTAATTATGTTAAAATAACAAAGCTTAGGGACAAGTGCCCAGCAACATTACCTGCATATTGTGTTTCATTTTACATCTCTTTACTGATGGAAATGATTATTTTAATCTGTCAGTTATTATTTTTAATAAATGAACTGTTTCTTTCAAAATGTCCAAAAAAAAAGCCATAGATGACATGTTCAGATGTCATATTCTTTTGACCAACTTCAAAAATCCAATTTGACTAATGCATTTTTTTGTGAACTGAATCATTTATTAATCAATTGAAGGTTTGTTAGGGTTCTGGTGCCTTACATGGCAGCTTTCTCTGAAACCCACAGTGCACATACAGTATGACGCTCATGTCTGCCATCATGTCAAACATCTCAGTTGGCACTTTATGTAACATGGATAGAGAAAGCTGAAAAGAGCCTCACTCAGTTGATATTTTGTCTGAGATGCTGCTCTTGTGTCACGCCTTAAAGTGCCACTTTGCAAATTAGATGAGATAAGCTAATAATCCTTGGTTAAATGTGCATTAGCGGGAAAAAGCGGTAACACTGACATCCCCTTGGTAACAATTAGTTAATTACACAAAGTATGCTGCATATACAGAAAAGCATTAGCATTGATTTGCAATCATGTGGTCTGGTCTCCACTAACTTCTGACAAAAACCTGGCTCCTCTGCTGTTAAATGCTCCACTTTGTGCTAACTTTGTGCATGTTTGTTTTGTGTAGGGCAGGTAGTGCACACTAGGGTTTAGTGCTCTCTCATTGAGAGCAGCTCCTTGCTGTGTGCAAAAATGATGCCATCAAAGCAGTGAGAGTGAAACAAAACAGTCAAATTAAGGGCTAGAGAACCAAAACAATCAGCTGAAAAATGCTATAAAGCTCTGCAGAGCAGAGCCAGACTGCAGTTCACTCTATGTGGTTCTTCACTATCAGCATTTCCTTTCATGGATAGTCATGTGGGCCATTCTTATTTAAAAATATTGACCAAAGCTGCAAGGCTAATTTTAAAACAATGCATTTTCAGTGGCTGAAACCAATAAATATTTAATGTCCATTACAATGGAAACTAGGTCTAAAGGGGTTACTTGAAATGTCTTGCACGTAATGAAAATATATGAAAATCTACTTTCAGGTCACAGTAGTCAAATTCAGTTCCTTTAAATATAGCTGGGGATAAATGGATTCAGAGTCAAAGCTGGCTTCCCACTGACTTGATTTCACAATGCAACAAGACAGCAAACTGGGAAATGACAATATAAGTTCTCACAACCTTTAATCATTTATGAATTGGTGTAGACTGTACCACAAAGCATCAGTAAACCCCCCCTTGTCCATTTTTCCCTCATAAATATTCATGAAGACAGTTTGCTTTTCAGCGTCCTTCTCACTAAATTCTGTGTGAATAATTGCATTTTACACAGCACATTGTTGTCCTTGTGCTCTCACCTTCTTTTTGACAGTCATGGTTATTAATGCAAATGTTGTCATGCACACTTGAGACTAGCATAAGTGCTTAGTGTAAATCAGAGAAATGAACATAAATGTCACCACGCAGCAGCTTTAAATAATTGTTTCCCACAGAGGTTTCCATGCTGACAAGCTACATTTTAATCCAGTGCACTGTTAAAGGTAAAGGTCCCCATTTAGCATTACATCCAAGCATCACACATTGAATATGGGAGGCCTGTAGTAACTGTGAGGCTTCTTCACGTTCAGCTGTTTCCTGTTCTCCTTTGTGATGGGAATGAGGACCACACCCACAACAAAAATCATCAGGCCAATGGACAACAGGCCTGGTCCCAGGATGCTGGTGACCTTCTTGCAGTGGCCGGCAAAGTAAAGCCCGCTGATGATGATGCCGCACACCAGGAAGCTGCCCCCAGTGGACATGAGGTGTATGGGGAACCAAAAAACCTCACACTTGCTGCGAGAGGTCTCGTTGGTCCAGAGGGACTCGCTGCGTGAGAGGCTAAACACAGTGCTCTCTGTGCGGCTCGGGGGCGTTAGCTGGTCCCTGGACTGGGAGAGGGTGCACTCTCCCAGGGGGATGTTCTCTGGGCTTGCTGGCATCGCCTCCTGAATGACTCTGTGGAAGTGACATGGAATAAGAATCAATCTGTAAGGAAAGACAGGTCTCTAATATAAGAATGTTACTGATGGGTAATATAATAAAAATCAAAATTTTCATAAATAACATGTTGTATATTAAATGTTTTAAGTCACAAACAAGGAATCAGGAAGGCACCACTGAGCACTTTAATATTAATGGTGATACAAGAACACATTTATTTTAAAATAAATGATGACTTTTCCCAGTTTAACATTATGCAATAACAAATTTTCTCATATAATGTCAGGGCTGTAAATGGTTTTTGTTTTGTTTTCCTGAAGCGTCCATCATTATTTGTTCCTATTTACAGTTATTTTCCACTGCAAACCAGTTCAAACCAGGAAATGAGAAGACAAACACGTACCTTTAGATTCTGGATCAAGATATTTTTTCTTTTTGAAGAATCAACCATAAATTTAAATCTCTTCACCATCAGAAAACATCCAGAAATTTTAAGAAGCTTGAAAAACTTCGGCCCACCATCCACAATAACAAGTAAAATGCAGTGCTACAGATTCCAACTGCATAGCCATCTACCCACCCTCCTACACTCCACCTCTCCACCTCGTCAAGAGGATCCTGTGACCACCATCCCCTTACCATCATCTAAAACTGCAGGCGATCAAATCTTCATGTTGCACCCAGGTTGAGTAGCTTGCCTTCCAGTCCCAAGAGGATATCCACAGACCCCAAACCACTCAATCTGATGTCTCCATTAGGCTCCAAAATGATTTTGAAAAAATTCTACAAAGAGCGACGTGTCACCTTTGTGTTTTGAAATGTCTAAAATTTCCCAGGACTGGACAATGAGAGGAGAATGTCTGCCTCACTTGGCTGGTACTCTTTTCACACAGTGAGGAGCAGGGCAGGGCAGCATATAGGAAATGGCTCTCTGTTATGGACAGATTGATGTAGCAAGCAATCACCCATACAGACAGTTTCCAATACAGCCTGGTGTGTTGGTACAGTATTGATCGTAAAGTACCCTGGAGCAATTATCTGCAAGTTATAGTCTTGTTCACTGAACATGAGCTCAGTGAAATCTATGTAGCATAATTAACCCTCGGAAGATGGAGGGAATCTTAAAGAAATTTGGCCAAATGTATGATTCAGTATTATCTTGTTATTCAGCCTCTAAAATTGCCTGCCTCAGACACACAAGGCGAACACATGAGGGGTATTACTGCAATATGACACTCCTGCTTCCATCAAACTGCCCTAATATTACATTTGTGTCTTTGTTGCTTTGTGTGCTCTTCTGCAAAGACACAAGTGTCAGTATGTGGCTATTGATCTGAACATTATGTCACACTTGAACACATTTACACTCTACAGAGGGCTCCCAAGCTATGAAACTGGCTCTTCAGCACTGCTACTTGTACTTAGTAAACAGTGTACCTCTGTTTAAAATGCACCACTGTACCACCCTGCGGTGCAACACCGATAAGATGAAACCTCTCAATACTTGCACTGAGCCACATAATCCAACAGAGGGCAGTATTAGTATGTGGTGTGGTGTTCTGACAAGTGATTGAATTCAGTTTAGCTGTATCATTAACTTTTAGTGAAATATTTCATACCAGAATTAGGTAATTAATTGGTTAATTTATTATTTTTGCAATTAGCGTATGCCCCAGTTCATTCTGAAGTCTCTTATGGCTTTTATTTTTGCAGTCACGTGAGAAATTAATTATCCATTCCATGTAATGTGCTACAGTATCTTGCTATTATGATGTGCCTATTTCTTTTTAATGGTGCTTTGAAGAGGGTTGTATCCCATTCACGTGATCACAGTTATCTTAGGGTATTTCCCACATGCTGCATAAACTTGTTAAAAGATGAGGTGGAGTTGCAAAGTTTCATATAAATGTGTATTTGTTCAAGATTACACATTGGTTAATAAGTCAAGAGAATGACTTAAAATTGAAAGGCCTGTGAGCACAATTAAGCATTTAGTAACTCAGGGGACATCACTTTATACCTTAAGTTTGGTGCATGTGCTATAAGGTTTGATTGATGTGTGAATTTCAAGTAGGGATGTAACAATATGTCAATGACCTGATAAAATTGTTGGTCAAAAACTTGTCTTTGTCTTTAGGTTATTTTTCAATCACAAATGGCAAACATTTCTTAGATTAAAAAATAATGCTAATTAAAATGTAGCTGCCGCTTTCCCTCACTTACACAGTATACAATATTTGTAGCCACACAGCAGCCGGTATCACATCACAGGTGGAATATGTGACTTGTTGGTGCTCAGAGGGTAAAAGTTGATATATTGGTAAAACAACATACAATTTGAGCTGATGAGGCTCATATTGAGACAGCACACTAGGTTTGTTGGTTTGTCAGAGGTTTTAGGACTGAATTCAAATGAACTGTTGACTTGGAAGTGCAGCATACACACTCTCCAGTTAAAGCCACCAGAACTAAGATGCTTTAACAACTCCAGCCCTTGTGAATTCCCAGGCTGTGGATTAAACAGAAATACTTTTTGGTCAAATGAAGCCTCGCACAGAGCCTCGTTAACTCCTAAGCAAATATCAATAAAACTCATGCAGCAACTCATCTGCAGATATTCACTTGTCTGCAGACAAATTGCATTTCAGGTTAATACGCGGCTGATTTATCAACGTATGAAAGCCTTGCGACCTTGGAAAACTAATTAATCTGCTTTGCATGTTTACAGCTATTTCTTGAGCAATCCCAGAAGGAGGTAGTATAAACAACAAAGAAACATTGTGAAATCCATAGGTTTCTCTTAACCATTAAAAATTTACTACATTTCAACTGATTTGATCATCACTAAATATGAGGCATCATCTTCCTTTCAGAAGGTGTGTACGACTCAGAACAAACAATAAGCAGTTAAATAAATAAATAAATATAAATACGGTACACAAAACAATTCAAGGCTTGTGTTTTGTCACAGGTTATTCAGCAATTCACAGCATTTCTATCAAGCATTTTTCCCCTCTGTGGTTCATCCATGGACTTTGTATTATGTGTGTACCACCATGCTAAGTAAAAATTACAGAATGTAGTAATTTTCAAATATTTCTTTTAGTAGAAATATCGCCCACAACTTGTCATAATGGGGAGAGGTCAGACAGCCATCAAGCTGCATGGCAGCAGTGCAGAGATATTCCCTCCTAAAGGTTTTTGACCAGGATTGCCCTCTTCAGTCAATCAGAGAAGGCCAACATCAGGCGTGGGCGCTCACAGCTGTCAATCACTATGTGAATGGGGTTCAGCTCTAATGATGTTGCTGTGGCTGGCATTGAGGGTTGTGAATATGTCCTGTCCTCCCGTCCTGTAGTAGAAGTTGCTATACATTTGTGTTTACAGTAGACACGAGGCAGGGCAATCAGCTTGGTGAGGTACATTATTTTAACGCCCACCAGTTGAATGCTGTCCACTAACTTGCTGTCACCAACCTGTGACACTGTGTGGTGGTTTTGTATTCAGGGTGGACAGGGTGAAGTGCAGAGCAGAGCGGAGTGAGTGGGGAGAGAAGGGCTGGACGGAGTGGAGGCGATTGACTCTACAGTCTAATGCTAGTGCAGCTTAATTTTCAAATAATGCAAGTTGTAGTTTTAACATAAGGCTTTAGTTTCAAAGGTCTGTAGTGAGCTGAGAGGTAACATTAATGATAACTAATTGACATTAGTATTCAAAAGTACAGTTAAGCAGAATGACCTATATTAAGATTTCATTTGACTGTTCTAAAAGAGGGCGTTGCTGAGAATGGGATAAATTAATTTCATCATTACCAATATAATCTTTTGTTAATCCTGAGGCTCTGCGGAGTCCTTGTATAAATATGATCACACGAGCTGATAAATTGTGCGAGAGAGGGAGATTAATACATAAAATGTATCCGTTTGGCCGTCAGTCTTTTTCTCCTTCTTCTAATAAAAGGAAATTGCCCGACTTAAATGTGACTTTCTGGTCTGTGCACATTAGACAGCTTTATAATACTGTAAAATCAGCTTGAATGATAATGTACATAACATAAAGTGTGAGAAACTGAACAGGTTGTTCCTAACATTTAGGTCATTGATTTGCCCGGGAGAAAGAGTTCTTCCTCCAAATGAGTCAAATACACCTTGAAGCTGTTTAGGTGGATTTTTCTATTCCCTTACCCGTGTTCAGGATGGAAAGTAAAGGCATGTTTTCACCCCCTGCTTTGCTGATCACAGCATGATGCGTGTTGATATATTTGGCCATATTCCGAGCACTGGAATAAAAACAGAGCACATTTTATGTTTTCAGTAGTTAGTGGAAAAGTATCTGAGGTCAGCTAATGACGGTGGCCCTCGATGGTACTTTGGCCTTCATGACGTCAGCGGGCCTGTTACTCCCCTACTGTGGCATGTCAAAGAAGGAGAGAGATAGGCAGTGCTAATAAATGCTGTGGAAAAGGAAAGATGTGGACTGTATAAACAGATCAATAGCTCAGCCACATCTAATTTCCGACAGATTTGTTTTGCCAGTCTTGTAATTGGGCAAAGAACAAAGTGTGTCATGCTCCTGTTGATCCGACGGTCCATGTCTTTGGGTTCTCCAGGCTCTGTGCTGTTTGTTGGTGGGGATGTCGGAAGGCACTGGTAGACTGAGGTAAAATATTTGTGATACGTTGCCCTAACCGTTATTGGATAAACTTCTAAAGTGTTTGCTTTTTTTCTCTCATAATCATTTGGAAATATTCCCTCAGGCACTATAAACATTGGCTAAGATTTATGTTTAATTGTTCAGTCAGTGAGAAAATACTCCTTATTTACATTCAGTGAACCTAATAAATACTTCCATTTGATATCCTAAATTACATAGAAAGGGCTTGTTGTGTTCAAAAACAAATGGAAAATTGAAGTACTTTGCATTCTCTTAATTCTGGCCATTGTGTTGTGGGAAACAGACAGCTTGAACAACTTTTATACTGCCCCGATATAAACTGCATATTCCTAGTCAGTTAGCTACAATAGCTAATCCAGTGTTTGTGGTTGGTCAGGGGTAGCACGGTGGTGCAGCTGTTAGCACTGTTGCCTCACAGCACAAAGAGTCAGACTTCAAACTTCACGGCCGACTGGGGCATTTCTGTGTTTGTATGTTCTACCCATGCGTGTGTGGGTTTTTTCTGGGTGCTCTGGCTTCCTCCAACAGTCCAAAGACATGCAGGTTAGGTTGGTAAGTCTAAAACTTGCCTGTGTAACCTCCATGACGCTGTGCTGCCTAGCGGAGCTTTGACACAACTCTAAACCAACTCCATCAACTTTTTTCCCCATATCTACACGCAGCAAGACGTGAATCGTAATGGTCTTATACTTGTATAGTGCTTTTCTATGCATTGCAACACACTCAAAGCGCTTTCACACTATTTGGCCATTCACTAGACAAGCTGGGAATCGAACTGCTAATCTTCCAGTTAAGAGATGACCCGCTCTACCTGCTGAGCCACAGCTGCCCCAAATGGAAACTGTAAAAAGAACGCTCCATTCTATATGTTTGAATTCAGCCAAAAGGACAGGTCTGAGAAATAACAAGCATTTCAAATAGCCTCTTTAAAAGTTAAAAGTGGGGTACATGACCTGGAGGTGTCACCTCACTACCAGGACTGTCACTGCCAGTCTGTGCGAACACTGCGCTTTAGGTGAGAAATCAGCCAGAATTAACAGGACACTGGCTTTGATGACAGAGCCTGTCTCTGCATATTACTGCAAGGCTCAGCGGGTGAACCACAGTGGCCAGAAGAATACACACAAAGGCCGATTTTCACACTTGAAATGAATAATTTGATGATTTTTCTGAAATGTTATCTAATAATGAGTCTGTGATGAGTCATGTATCTGTC